ATTCAATTTAATTTGACTTTGGGGAACCTTAGCTATATAATAACATATTTAAGAAGGCTTTTAAACATCAAACTACTATAATAAGTTTTGTAGATCAACATGAGGATTACATAATAATATGTATTTTATTTTTACAGTCTCAGATATTACCAAATTTAGATGATATAAATCATATCTTTTTTATACAATTAGAACATTCTTAGTACTTCTATTTTAGTCTATTATTATTCTATACTAATTTATAAGGCTAAAATTATGCCAATCATCCTTTACTTTCTGATTTGGTAAACTACCACCTTATAAAGCCTTTGAGATCATAAGAGATCTCTAGACTACATGTCTATAAGACCATTTATATCAGAATTAATTTAATCATTTATTATTAACTATCTTATGATCCTGCTACAGCTGTTTTAATATATAAATTAATTCTAGAGAATTCTTTACTATGTTGTAAATCGATTTTTATATTTGGTAAAATCTGAAACTGTTTTAGTTAATATATAACTTATTAAGTAATAGAGTACTAAGTATTGATAAACATAGTTTGGCTCAACATTAGCTTGGTGTTATCTATTGGTATTTTAGAAGATTCTACTTGTATTTTCTATATTACCAAGGCCTTCTAAATGGTTGAAGTGTTTAAAAATATTCTATAATACATAATAGCCTTAAAACCAATTAAATATTGATTTAAAAACCATAAAAAGGATAGTTTTTTGTTCTTTTAAAAAGCAGAGTTGTCTTTATCTAAATTTCCTTTAATAAAATTATATTTTATTTATTCTTTTTTTGACATTATTAAGGGTAGAGTATTTGTTTACATATTTTTTTATACAATGCATAAATAAATATGCATATATAATGCATAAATAAATATACATATACAACCAAATATACAATTATAATTGGTTAATTTTGCAGATTATTAAATTTTGATTAGTTTATTTTTATACTATACACAAACAAATAGTAAACAAATACTCTATACTTAATAAAAACCATTTTTTATCTTTCTTTTTTACATTTTTTATCTTTCTTTTAATAAATTTTGTTCTTTTCTTGTCAATAATATAAAGTGAAAACTGGCTTCGTAAATAATATTTTGGCAAATACTGCTTTATATTATTAGGATTTAAAGGCTACATATAGCTGTCAACAGTCTGATTATTAGTACTTTCTTTCTTCTAGTTATATCTTAGGATATTTCTAAGTTTTTAAGTCTAATAATCCTTGTATAGGACAAGCATTTTGCTAAACCCAATCTATACAAACTGGACAATAGGTTTAACTCCAAACATAATTGTCTATTGCTAACTTCTTATAGTATTTAGGAGGCTATTGAATTTAAATTCTGTTTAATTATTTTTATTTCTTTATCTTTATTTTGATTTTCTTTAAATAAAAGATTTCCACTCAATACTTGTATTTTTAAAATTTGCTAAAGCTTGCTAGTTTTTTGTAAATTTTATTACAGTACAAATAGCAAAAATCATAATGTGAATAGCAGTACTTTTTTATTTAATAAATTTATTAATTTTTTTTAAATTTTTTAATCTTTGCAATGTTGCATAAAGGCAGATTTTTATTAGATATTTTAGATAGTTTATTCTTGGTTAACAAGAGTATATTCTAGCTATAACTGCACTTTTTGAGCATCTAATTAAATAGCTGCCTATTACTAGATTTTACACTAAATGCTGTATCTATAACACACTATTATTTGAGTTATCCAATTAAATTCTCTGATATCCTCTATCTTATATCACCCATCACAATCATATCAGTATATAACCTTGTGCTGCTTCTTATTAAAGACTACCTAGATCGATATCTGCTATACTACTATTACAAGATTGTAGTCTTCTTAGTAAAATACAACCAAGTAACAAGGTTACACAGTGCAGTGATTGACTTTTGCAAATATACACAAGGTGGATGTGTAGTTAGCACTTAACTATATAGTAGGAGGCAAACAGTTTGAGATAGTAACAGTATATAGAATAACTTTATTTCATACAAGAACATAAGATAAACCTTGCCTATAGGAATTACTCTAAAGGAGGAATATTATATTTACAAGAAGAGTATAAAGAGAACAGAGTCTAGGTGAAGTATAGAAACTTATAAATTGGCAGAGAGGAGAAAAGTTACTCTTTATATATCTTTTCTGTCTAAAGAAAAAATACACAGTGTGTAAAGAGATATTGGAGAATGAGTAATATTAGTGGAGGAAGTTGAGGAATTGTGTTAGAAGAAGTTGGGGAATTGTATTGGGAGAAGTTGAAGGAATATAAACATTACTCAATTTGTTTATATTTTATTTATTGTTTGTAAGGTGAAACTTGGTGAAGAAGAACTTGAGAGATTTTGTATTCAAAATACTTGTGTTTGTGTAGAGGGAACTTGAGAGACTTTGTGTAGAGGAACTTGGGTGAACTTGTGTTATTTTCTTGTATTACTTCTTTGTATAACCCAAAGTACTTTTTTGTATAACCTTGTATCATCTGAGATTATATGAGGTTATGTGATTATACCACACTTCTAATAGCTAATCAAAATATTTCTATATTAATGCTATATAATATTCTATCTAAATATATAACTAATATATAATAATATAATAAATACAGTATATTCAATATTTTAACTATATAAAAATATAAATATTTTAAATAATAATAACTAAAAATAATGTTTAATAAAATCTATACTAAAAATCTACTTTGTAACACTACTTATACACTAATTCTATAGATAACCTAGTAGTGTTCTTATACTATTGGGTTGCTTTAGAGAGGATATAATATATACTTCCTAAATCTTTTTATGTCTCACACATTTTCAGATTAGGCTACAAATACCTTTCACAGCAACCGAAACCACTACTAGCAGTCAAAGTGAACTATTAAACCATACAATTCTAATATTTGGTGCTCTTACAAGGTTTATTTTGATTTTGATACCCACATCAATCAGTTTCTTAACTGATCTCTTTCAAACTACCAAACTAGTTAGCCCAGATGGGTTGTTGTATCTTAGCTTTAGGTGCCTTCTGGTTTTACTTTTCTTGGTTTCTAATTCCGTAGTATAGGACCTTTTCTTCCAGTGTGACTCTGGTAGCCAGGTTGGTAGATCCAGAATTTTTATTCAGTTCTTCAGTTTCTAGTTCTGGCTTTCTGCAGTATCATTAAAGATTTTTATTACCTCTTTGCTCAGGTCTTGCCAAATAGGTTCCAATTATTCTGATTTCTTAGATTTAGAATAAATATTACTAATACACAGGCCTATTTTTCTAAAAACACCTTTGGTGGAATTCAAACTTTAGATCTGCCACTTGGAAGGTAACAACTTAACTACTATTTTAAGTCACCACACTTTTATAATAAATTTTTAAATTTTAATTTATTTTATATATCTATTTGGATAATATTATACAAACTCAGATTTGAATTATATTAAAGTTTTTTGAATTTCTAATTAAGATTAAACAAAATACTAAAATTTTGTAAAATTTTTTTAGATATTCTATAGAATAGGTGAATAATATAAGAAATAAATCTCTCTAATAATTAGTAATTATTAATTTTTTAATTGTAAAGTTATGAAGTTTGTGAAATTTGTTTATCTATTTTATAGAACATTCAAAATTTTTTTTATTAAAACAAAATTTAAAATATACTAAATTTTTTATTGCACAATCTTAAATTTAATTGGTCACAATACTTTAGCACTATAGTGCTATAGCACTATAGAATAAATCTTTTAATATATAGTTATAAATTAAATTTTATTTAAATTTGGCAAAAATAAAAAATTTATAATAAAATAAAGAGAACTGTTAATGCTACCCTTCACTTTTGTTAATGCCACCCCCTATATAACTTTAACTGGTCTAAATCTTAAAAATTTTATAAATAGTATTTAAAAACAGTGTGAATTCATATAATTAATTAGTTAGCAATTAGGGTAAGCATTGTTCATAGAGTTCCGGAAAGGTTAAAGACCAATTAGAGCTATGTAGAGGGTGGCATTAACAAAAATAGGAGGTGGCATTAACAAGTCTCTAAAATAAATATATATATAATTACTTTTTAATGTAATTAGTGCTATGTAAATTTTAATATAAACTACTATATACTGTAAAAAGCTATATACTTATATATATATATGGGTTAAAATCTAACAAACAGTCTTGTTATCTTAGGATATGGAGTTTAAATGTATTCTTTTCATTGTAAGAGAATTGAATTAAATTTCAATAAAGATAGAGACATGGTCTCACCATTAACATTCAAAAAAAAAAAAATCTAACAAACAGAATATTGACAAACAAAATCTTAACAAAATTAACCAAAACTATAGCTAATACCAACTTGACTTTGTCGAATTTTGTTTGTCGAATTTTACTGGCTCTTACACTTTAAACATGTGATACTAGTTATAATAACCAGCGGTTACAAATAGTTTTTTTTTACCAACAAAAATAAAAATAAAATACTATAAAAAAATAAAATACCAAAAAAATAAAAAAAAAAACAAAATTAGATATTGAAAACAGTTGAAAAATTAAAACTTTTTTGCACCATACTAAAAATAAACCCTTAATTTAGTATGTGTTACTAAATTATATAATATGAATCAAATTTTCTAATCACAATACAAAAATTAATTTAGTTACTCAAAAAATCGGACCTAATAATTTATTGACTTGGATCCGTTGTACGAGATCCGACCTTTAAGATACTACGTAGTCAGGCTGACGGCCATTCATATTTTCACATATACCCCAGGTTTTCCCTTTTTTTCTGATCTTCTGGTGGTTTTACTTTTACACAAAAATTCCCATCGCTTAAATATAAAAATACAAAAAAAACTTGCACTTTCCTAAAATATTTTTCAGATTCTTTTTTACTTCACGTCTACAAAAAATCACCCAAAGACTTTACACTCTTCCACTTTTGAATAAACTAGTCTTTGGTTATGGCTCGTACTAAGGTATGTCGTTTAGTTTTTCCGCAAAATTCTCATTTGTAATATAATTTTATTTACCATGGGACTTTGAAGGATAATTTGTTTTTTTTTTTTTTTTTTTTTTTTTTTTTTTTTTTTTTATAACTTTTACGTAGCAAACCGCCCGAAAGAGTACTGGTGGCAAAGCCCCCAGGAAACAACTTGCCACTAAAGCTGCTCGTAAGTCTGCACCAGCAACTGGTGGTGTTAAAAAGCCTCACCGTTATAGACCTGGTACAGTTGCTTTACGTGAAATTCGCCGCTACCAAAAGAGCACTGAACTTTTGATCCGCAAATTGCCTTTTCAACGTCTTGTGCGAGAAATCGCCCAGGACTTTAAAACGGACTTGCGTTTCCAATCTAGTGCAATCGGTGCTTTGCAAGAAGTATGTATTTAATACATCTTAATTTATAACTGTCTTATTAATGTTAGTCATTGCTGCGTATAATTAATGCGGAACGGGGATTTTTATTTATTTTTTTGAAAATTAGGCATCTGAAGCGTATTTAGTAAGTCTTTTTGAAGACACTAACTTAGCGGCTATTCATGGTATGTCCATGCAACAATTTATATGAAAATTTTAATGATCATTGTGAATGTTTTCATCATACATTTATTTTTCAACCTTTAGCCAAACGTGTTACCATTCAACCCAAGGATATTCAGTTGGCCCGCCGTCTTCGTGGTGAACGTTCCTAAACAACTTACTATTTTACTATTCTACTTTGCATTGTATGACGGCTAATGACGTCGGTTTCTTTTGCTTGTTACGTGAAATTGATATAGTATAGCATAGCCACTTTTACAGAATTTACAGAATAATGAATCAACTTTATTTTCTTTCTTTTATTTCTATTGATTAAAATTTATATCTTCGTTTAGCTTTTGAAATTAGTAGTCCTAAACATAGATTGTTTCGGTGGGATGCATTCATCATATTACCTTTATTAGCGTTTGCGTGTGAATAAAAAAAAAAAACATGTAGTGCAGATTCCTTACCGTTTCTGTATATGTAAAGAAAATTCATAGCCCTATTGTGACTACATTCTTCATCGCTTCTCTGATGGTTAAGGCTCAATATGTATTGTTCAACATACAATTAAGTAATATATTTCTATTAATTAATTAGTCATTCTGATCAACATTTCTCGAAATAACTTTGATTAACACTACTAGTACATTTACAAATTTGCATATCCTCGCATCTGTTACGCTAATACTAAATTTCTTAAAAAAAATTTGTATTCAAATGATTGGTATGCGTGACATTAATTTGTATATCCTTGCACCAAAATTTTTCGCATCATATTCCAAACAAACAAAATTCCGGTTTGTTTACTATATATCATGCTAATAATTAAAATTTGAAAGATTACACTAAAGGTGACACAATTGCACAATATTTTCGTCACAAGATTCCCGTTATCTATATTTGGTCTTTACCAATATGGTGTAGGACTAAACGAGTCAATTTACAGAACATGGGTAATTTTATTCGACTTCCAATTCAAATAGTTTGATTACTTGCTTTGCGAACTAAATTATTTCATGCTGCAAAAATAAGTTTACTTAAATAGTTTTCAAAGGTGAGGCCATTTAAAAAAGTTTTTTAAATCTATAAATTTGCAAAATCAATTTATACTTTTATTATTATAAAAAATACAATTTTATATTAAAAATGCTACTAATTATATATATATTTACAAAAATATAAAATATATACTGTAATTACAAACAGTCAAAATAAGAAACCAATATTTTTATTTAGTAAAAAAAGAATAAATACCAAGTTAAATTTTTGAAAATTTGTTTAGATTTTATTTTATAAATCTGTTTTTTTTTTTTTATATTAAGATAAGTTCACGCCTCTGGTTTTTATTAATTTACATATACTTTATGTAAACTAGCTACGGTTGCATATATGTAATTTTACATAGATTATAGAGATTTAGACTAATTTATCTACAACTTAAATCTACTAGAGCAGTCTATACTTAATATATATATCACCTAGCTATTTTTAATATTTATTATATTTTTTTTATTTTTTATTATTACTAGTTATAACTTCCAATTTGATATATTAGTATTTGCAAGCACAGTTCATTGCAAAGTCCTTACCTTTTATTAGTATAACTGTAGTTAATACAGGTGGTTTTTCTATAGTTTTGTATTTTAAATCAAAAACTTGTTTAATTAGATTTATTATAACAGAATTGATATTATATTATTAAATTAAAAATTTATTTTAAGTTTGCTTTGTATTATTTATATGGTATTTTTTTTTTAAGATAGTCATATTATATCAATTTCTATTAAATAATAATCTTTTATTTAACTTTTACATTCTATAAATACTTAATTTTTTCACTTTTTTGTTTAGATACTATTAATCTGTATTTTGTTTACTTCAGAGCTTAATATTTTTTTCTAGTATAATAATATTAATTTAATTAATAATTCTCTAGTAAACTAAAAATTATTATAGTATAATACAATGTGGTTCTTTATGTAAATTCTATAAATAGAAATGTAATGATTTTTTAAAGAAATATGGTGTTCATTTAAGGAAAATCTTTTTTCTTATTAAGTAAATCACCTTTTAGCTTTTAACTAAAGGTAGAGTTTATTAAGATATATCTAATGGTGATAAGAACATTAAAATTGGCTTGGTGATTTATAAGAAATCTTTAAAAAATCTTTTGTTGATATATAAAATTTTTTTAAAAAAATTGTTTTTTTAAAGAAAATTTTTATAGTCAATGAAATATTTTTTAAAAATTTCTTAAAAACTACCAAGCCAATTTTAATGTTTTTATTACTATTAGATATAACTTGATAAGCTTTACAACTTTTATTAGAAGCCCAAAGGTAATTTACTTGGTAAAAAAAGTTTTTTTAGATGAACATCATATTTCTATCTTAAGAGATTTATATATAGAATCATATTGTATTATACTATAATAATTCTTTAGTTTATTAAAGGATTATCAATTAATCTATTTGTATTTCTTATATAGTATTTTCTAGAATTATATTATATTTTATAATATTATTTTAATAATTTATTTTATTAAAAATTAGTTTAATATTACAAAATTCTTTAAATAGCAAATAGTTATACTTTCAACTATAGATTTTGTATTATATTACTAGAAGTCAAACTTCAATTTATCTTAACTTTTAACTTGATTCTTACTATTAATTGATTTTGTATTATTGTTGATATAGTTTAGTTTTTTTATTATAAATTTTCATATAAATATAATTTAAGTTTTGGTTTAATACTATTATAAAATAGATTTTTAATATAGATTTTATTAAACATTATTTAGTTATTTTTAGTTATTATTATTCAAAATATTTATATTTTTATATAGTTAAAATATTAGATATATTTATTATATTATTATATATTAGTTTTATATATATTTAGATAGAATATTATAGCAATAATATAGAAATATTTTGATTAGCTATTGGAAGTGTAGCATAGTTACATGACCTCACATGACCTCATATGATACAAGATTACACAAGAAAGTCTTTTGGATTACACAAAAGTATTATACAAGAAAGTAATACAAGTTCACTTTCTTCCTTCACACAAATACCTTCTTTTTCTATATAAACCTCTAATTCTCTTGTACAAATCTTAAATGTTTTAAACACAAAATATTATCATCTAATTCACCAACACAAGCTATAAATAAATATAAACATAATAAATAATGCTTATATTCACCTACTTCATTTAGCACAATTATCTTCTTCATCTAATATAATCTCCTACTTTTCCCATATAAGTTCCTCTTCTTTCTCTATCAAGTGTTACTCATTTATTATGTATTGTGCATCCTCTTTATAGGTAAAAAGATATATAAAGAGTGTCTTTTCTTTTCTTTGCTAATTTTATAAGTTTTTATACTTCACTTAAACTCCGTTCTCTCTATACTCTTCTTGTAAATATGATATTCTCTTTTTAGAGTAATTCTTACAAACAAGGTTTATTCTGTGTTCTTGTATAAAATAAAATTATTCTATATACTGTTGCTATCTCAAACCATTTGCTTTTTGCTATATAGTTAAGTGAACAACTATACATCTACCTATGTATATTTGCAAAAGTCAATCACTGTACTAGATGACCTTATTACTTAGTTGTATTTTACTAAGAAGGCTACAACTCTATAACAATATCTTTAGATATATTAAATTAGCCTAGTCTGTTTTTATATAATTATCTTTTTTAGTTAATTGTTTTAAGATATCAAAAGTATTTTTAATTTAAATCAGATCAATTCTTTATTATAACTCTTTTATATATTTGTTAATTTTTTTATTATTTCAGTTTTAGTAATATTATATTATTTTATTAAATAAATATCTAATATTATTTTTAAATTAAGACATATATACACAATCTATTAATTATTTTTTAAGCAAACATTTTATAAGTAGATATAAAAACATTGATACTGCTTAATGTAAAGGTAAGAAGATGTTAATATTACTCTAATTAACTTAGTATTATCAGATATTCTTTCTGAAGAAGAATTGCTGTAAAAGCTCCTTAAAACTTTAAAGCAGATATATTTATCCTTGTGATAAACTTTTTAGAGTGGTCTATGTTCTATATATGTATCACCTAGATTTTGGTAACTTACACTTAGGCCATGATCAAGTACTTGTGGCTTTTTATTTCCACTACTATTACCTACTTCTTACCCTTGCAAAGTTCACCCAAACTCCAGTATCCACTTTATAGACTATTAATAGTACTTCGATGCCAACTATCAGTATCCCAAACTTCTAATCCAAATGGCCCAAAAGGGACCAGTAAACATCTCCTAGTATTCTGAATAAATCATTTTTCCTCTGATTATTCGGTGGTTTAGTTGGTATAGTGCTTGTTAAATACTTGGTCCTTGTTCAGTTTGTCTTCAGTATCCAGTTTCTCAGATGATAATTCTTTATGTAGCGCTATCAAAGATCTGTGCTATCTCTCTACTCAAAACTTCCTAAGCAGGCTTCTATATCCTCTGATCCTTTAGATTTATTTGGCTGCTTTACTTGGGCTTCATGTAACTTATACATTATACTATATTCTACAACTTCCTAATATGAGTTGGTAAAACCAAGGTTACAGATACTAATCTGATCAATATGTTATACAGTTTTATCGTAACACATTTTATAAATTCGAATTTTATCATCAGTAGAATTCGAACTCTTGTTCTGTCACTTGGGATATAACAACTTATCAACTATACTAAGTTGCTACACTCTCTAATATCTTTATTAAATCTATTTGTAAATATATATATTTAAGATTTTTTGTAAATTTTTAAAAATTTTTGATTTAAAAATATGTAAAATTTATTTTTTTAAAAAATTTTGCAAATAGTTAAATATAAAAATTTGTATAAATTTTTATTTTTTTTTGTAAAAATTTCTGCCATTTTTGCAAATTTTCATAAATTTGCTTAAAATTTGTACAAATTTGCATTAAATTTATTTTTGCATTTGTAAAATTTGTAATTAGTTATACATAATTATATATGATCTACCAATCAGATTTGAGAATCAGATGTATATAAACAAATATTTATTTTGTCAAAAATCACTTCTTTCTTAAAAATTTATATAATAAACTATCTAATGCACTAACAAAAAGGGCTTCTTGTATAATTTTATTA